GCTTCTCTCCTTCAGTGAAGCGGGAAATTCTCTCTGTTATGAACATATTGTGTGAATGTCATGGGTACATTTCTCAGAAATTATCTTGTCTGTAGACGAAAAATATTCTTTTTTTTTTCCACTGTAAACACGATTTTTCCTTGACCGCTAGATAGCAGTGCTGTAAACGTGAACTTAGGGCTGTGATGTTGGACGTTACAGCGACAGTGATCAATATAAATGCAGATCCCACCGTTCTGGTTGAATAAACAAAGTTAACTCTTTTTAAATGAGTTTGCTTACCCCATTGTAAACATGTAGTGAATTATGGTAAAGTAGAATTAGGCTTCTTGTGCATTTAGCCCACAGTCTGTAAATATTTGTTTTTCTGACTGATCAGAACTTTTGTAATTAAGAATCAGTAGACCTTTTTTATTATCATTATTTATCAGCACATGCCACAGTGACTGTTAATGTACCGTTTTACTTGAAAGATAAATGCACCCTTTATTCAAAAAAATAAATTATATGTATATAAATAAGTTATTTTATTTTTTTTTTGGGGGGGGGCATGTTTTTTCCCCCCATGTCCTATGTAGCCCATTTATAAAACAAACCTATGCCAAAAAAATATGCTTTAAAAAGCTCCATGTAAATAAAGATCATTCATTTTTTTGTTCATTCATTAAGCCAATAAATATCTGTGGAGTGTTTATGGAAAATGCAGCCGACTAGACGGCCGTTTAGCCGGCTGTTTGTGCTTCAAGAAAGTTGTGTCGGTGCCTTGAATAAGATCTTCACCAACATGAAATAAATGGCAAACAATTGTCTACCACTCAGGAAGAAATAAGCCGAATCCATGTTTTATTTACTGTGCTTAATGGATGGGGATGGAAAAATGGGGCTTTTTAGTTGATTGAAAACTAAGTTGAGGTCTATCCAACAGGGTAAATTGATTCTATTGAGGCATTCAACTCTGGCCACAAAACATGCATGCTTTCATGATTCAAATATTTCAAGATTCTGACAATAAGGTCAACCACGAAAAGGGGTAATGCATTGTAAACAAATAGTGCACTCCTTTCAGCAGGAACCACCAACGAGCCCCGAAGCCCTTGGTAGAGGTCCTGCACATCACGCTATATCTGAGGGAACCAGCGCTTCACAAAAGGTTCCTTTCACCGCTGATGAAGGACAACATCCTTAGAATTCACTCCACAACGGCAAAGCAAGAGGAGCAAAAATACAGCTCCGAGCATTGAAGGGATTCAAGCAAGGCTGAGCTTCAAAGACATTTCAAAGACCACTTTTACAATTAACAAAATCCAGTTAGGGACTGTTCCAACAATTAGGACACAGTAAATCAATTACAACAGATTGACAGGCCTACCTGTGACTGTATTTACAGATTAGCTGCAGGTAAAACAAGGGCCTGGCTTACCAGGAACAGCTTCTTTTTCTTATTGTTTCCAGTAGGTGGTTGCCCTGCTGTTCAGAGAGCACAGATTGGTTTTAGCCTTGAGCCCATCTGTCACTGAAAATTTAAAAATATGACTCGCTAATAGGTGCCATGCTCCAAACGGGTTTACCATTATCTGATGCCGACAGCGAATGCTATAAGAAGCTCTTCCCTTAAGCATTGACTGAGAGCTGCTATAGCTAAATATAAAAACCATATGCTTCACGGGCCCAAACACGAAGTGAAGTGGCAGGTGCAACAACAACATCTTGACATCACCACAGCACATAACAAAAACAGAATAACTAAATAGCAACGCTGACTCATTTGCAGTCACAGGGTGTTGCTGCATATGGATATGCTGCAAGGGTTTCAACTGTGTGTATGGCAGTGTCTTCCATACAACAGGATGAAACCTCTTCAAACACAGCGACGAAGCGAGGGGCTTCGTTTCACCACATGTAAATCAATTAGGCTAGAACATGAGAGCTGGTGTGTCACACTGCTGCTTTGTCTGCTCTCTGTCCAGTGTCTACTCTCAGAGATAGGCTGGTGCTGGGAAGGTTGCCAACTACATACAAACCATGACTGGGCAAACACCGCTCCCCAGGCCATGTTATGCAGCTGACTGCAGACGCAGCTCCGAGCAATCAGTGGTACTTAATCACTGCATTTGCCACACCTAGTTCGGTGTAACACTGTTAGTCATAATCTATTCAATTCATTTATCCAGGTTAACCTCAATATATTCTTTCAACATGTTAGTTCCCCCAGGAAATTATTTGCCAAGGTGGTAGACCATCTGGGTCTTATGATCAATCTATGAGGTAGATCATTTCCCTAACACCTACTGCACACTATGATTAGTCTGGTTAAGTTTACTCTGTGGTTCACGTGTCTGCCGAACCGTGTGTCCGGAAGACTATGATCCTTTGCAACTCTACTGTTTTCGGATGTTTTAACGATCAATCGAGAAAATAATTGGCAGATTCATCTATAATGAATGAATGGGATAATTAGTTGCAGGCCAAGAATCGATACAACTGCTCAATTTCCTTGAAAGTTAACGTTTTATTCTATAAAAGCGTATTCATTTAGGAAGATAGCGGAGGAGAGCTTTCTTTCAGGCGAGGTAGCCCGGTTCCACTATAAAGCACGGCAAGGTTGTATTGAAAAAGGTCCAGTGTGTAGAATTTAGTGGCCTCTAGTGGTGCAGCTGCAGAGTGTAGTATGAATAACGTGCATAATATATTCCATTTCTGCCAGTAGAATCTCCTAAATGTCACATACTGGACCTGTACATGATATGTACAGTATGAGTGGAGACTTTTTGGCACCTACCAAAAAGTGCCTGTAGCGTTAAACAGAAAATTGTCAAGTATAAAAAGCTGGCATCAAAGGTTGTTTACGTATTCTTTCATTCGATAAATTTGATTTGTTAAGTCAGGAACTAACAAAAAATGCAATTTACTGATTTTGTGACAAAAAGCTGCTTCTGTTTAGTTTGGCTTCTTTTGTAAAATGGAAAAAAAGGGGTTGTACAAAAAGATATAGAAAAAAAAGTATTGTATCTCTTACTGTATCAGCAATACTACAAAAATCTATGTTAGACATTAATTCTGAGGTCTTTTTCTAACTGAGAAATCATGGCTGTATCATAGCACAATGAGTAACCAGAAAACCCGGCTTCAAACTGCTCTTATCACCAAACAAAGCTCGCTGAAGTGTCCTAGAGCAAAAACCATCATCCTATCAGCTGCAGGAATGCTGCTCTGCACCTGACCTCTGACCGTCACGTGGAGCAGAGTGGTCGAGAAGAAGAGGTGGATTTGCCTTCAGGCATCACATATATAAAAGTGACGTAGTTGCTACAGCCAATATGGAGACCGATCGCGATGGCACCTCGATAAAACAAATCACGGTGAGGCTCTTATTTAATCAGCTCTGCGGGAAACTCAGTCGTTAGCTTGTTTGCGGCGTTATGCGTGAGCCAATATGTGAAACTTTAAGTCTGAGGTGAGAAGAATGAGGAATAATAGATTCATTACAGTACTGTATTGCACCCAGAGTAGTCTTAAAGTCCATGATATTGCTTTTTCACACCTGGGGATTTGTCTGCTTAGCTGTTTATCCAGCGAGTCTACTGCATTTCTCCTGAGATATTCCTACAAATTGTTTATTTAGCATATGAGTGTGACAAGGAGAGAGTGGTTTAAACTGCTAGGGTGAGTGAGTACAGCGAGGTGTCTGGTGTGTGTGTGTGGGGGGGACTTGAGGTCTCTGAGGCCAAGAGCCTCTGAAACAATCCTCGGAGGCAGCCGGCCATGCGCCAAATCTGTTACTGCAATTACTTTTGACAGCGGTGCCTTCATTGTCCAGGAAGGTGGGTATCCCTGCGCTAAGCAACGCTGACCACAGGCGTTAGCGGGATTTGTGTAGGCAGGAGTATTGCAGCACACTCGCTTCGCAGCCTCGGTGAAGCCATCAAGGAGAGTATATTCTTTAGTGCACACGTAGGCGTTTCTTTTGTGTGGTAATGAAATTGAGGCAAGACTTAGTGAAAATGAGTAGGAGAGGGGAGATATTGTGCAGAATGCCTGAAAGGATGCAAGGGACGGTTATGCTGTAAATATGGAAAGAATTGCACTCTTCCACAGCGCAGCTTCCTCCTTCGTTCCTACTAAAACTGAGCGCCTTTAAATAGGACTCCAAATAAATACACAGAGACAAAAAGGTGCTCAGTTCGCCTCTCAGCCGTGCACTTAAGCCATGCATTGCAAAGTCATACTCCGCTTACAGCTGGAAACGGTGCTGTGCGTGTTGCTGCCGCTGCATCAATAACAAGCAGTTTGGTATTAAAAGGAGGATTAGTGTTTTCAGAGTCCAACTAAATCAATGTGACATGTCGGGGAAATCATCTTTGGGATGTTTGACTTGGGATTCCATACACATTGCCAGTCAAGATGCCTGCCTGTGTAGGACAAACTATAGGTTTATCTGTTGTGCAAGAGCCCACCCACTATGAAAGACATGACTTTGGAGACACACACACACACACAGAAATCAAAAGGAGATGGTTGTGTTAAATGTGTTCACCATGAGTGAGCAACTCTTATCTCTCCCTGTATTATTCACATATTTTATGGGTTACTGCTTCTTGTGTGGCTCTGGTCGTAGTGTAATTGTCACCTGATGGTCCTATCTATATCTCATGTAAGGTAGATTCCTGTATTATCCCCATAGTAACTTATAGTGCGCCTGCGATTGTCAATGTTAAAGTTCCCTTAAAGAAAAACATACCAGATGTATCATCCCCTTTACTGAGACATTAGTAGAGGCTCTACTAAAAGTGTGTGTGTGTGTGTGTGTGTGTGTGTGTGTCTATACGTCCCTCCATCTGCAGAAATGACCAATCAGAACAGCAGCCAACCCCTGCGGTTGCATGTTGCTGAAATTTGGCACCATCACTTCTCTATGCAATACAATTATGCTCCTGAGAGCCCACTGGAGGGGGCGCAGGGTAGGTGGAAAGGGGGGGGGTTAGTGGGGGTTGGTCACTCACCATATGAAAGCGCCGCCACACAGATGAGGAGAGTCCACCTGCAATCCCGTGCACCTGACATGGTAGGAATCCCAGCAGGCGGATGTTTAATCCCAGTTGTTCCAGTAGCCGATGGTGGAATGAAGCTCTCTGCGGCGCTCAGCCTCCACACGATGCTGTTCGTGCGGGATTGTTGAAGTTGAATAATGCGCAATAGATATATATGTATCAAACGAGTGTGTGACACAGTGTGAGTGATGCCTGGGTCGAGGTCTTCAAAATGTTACTGTCCAAACACAGTCTCTCTCTCTCTCTCTCCTCTTGTTTTTTGTTCTACAGTGTCTGTGCGAGCAGCAAACCTAAGGCACGGCCGAACCGCGTCTTCTCCAGGCAGAAGCGAGCGTTTTTCCACATGGGGAGAAAGAAAGTTACAAGTATCCTGCTCCAAATTGGACAACTGGGGGGCGGGAGGAGAGAACCTTGATGTTCCTGAAGCGGATCCAAGTCCCTTGCGGAAACCCAGATAAATGGCCCAAAAATCATAAATCAATGGGCATCAGTCGAGAGATGACGCGCGCCCTGGCTAAAACACTTGGAATCCTGCGTGCCTTAACCCCCCCTCCTCCAAAACAACAACAGGGCTAGGCTAGAATAAATCAGCAGAAGAGAAAGAGCAGTGGAATATGTCTGTGTGATTAGTCATTCTCCAATTAAGAATTCAAAAAATGGAATTCCTTGCGCAAATCGAGGAGGCATCCGGCGGATCCGCACCGCGCTGCGCCGGCTCTCACTCACTCACTCCCCGGCTCCCCTTTAAACCCCCACCGCCGAGGGAAGAGAGAAGGAACACATTCTGAGCTGTAAACGGCCAAACTGCACCCTCAAACAAACCCACAAAGGTCCAGGTTGGCTCCAACACAGAGACCGCTTCCCTCCTCCTCCTCCTCC